GCTATACGCCGCGACCCCACCCGGCCCGCCCACGCTCACCTGCACCACCATCACCGGTGGCGCGTCACCCGTCGCACACAGGACAGGCAGCAAGGGCGAGTCGTCGCCGTTATCCGTGTACTCGACGCAACCCGTCCGCGCCACCACGCAGCCAGAGGGAACGCCAACGTCGCCAGGCCCTCGCCGTTGCCGTCCTGAGCTCCACCGCCACGCTAGATGGCCAAGGACTAGCGCCACTGTCTTGGCGTCCAGATGCAACCGCGGGCACCTCACCAGCTTCCGCCCGTCCCTCCTGCTGCACGTCGCCGATGCGGCAGCAGCCTCCAGCTCCATGGATCCGATCTGATGCCTCTCGGGCGAGAGGACGTTCCTTTCGATTTCACCATAATCCTGCAGACCGCCCATCCGAAGTCGCAGATCAGCTAGGGCTGCCCCTCTCCGCCCGGCCTCCACGTACGCCGCCGCCACCTGCCATCCGCGTCAGCAGGGAAAGCCTCGCGCCGCTCGAGGGAGGTGACGGGAACGGGGACTTGCGCCTGGCCAAGCCTGGCTCCAGGAAAACGAGCAACGCTCGCATTCTTTCCTGGCCAGGCCAGGAGTGTACGGTTGGCTCCGCGAAGCCAGGCCCCAGCCCATCTACAGGCAACCAAACAAGCCCAACTTGGCTCTGGGGAACCAGGCTAGGGGTTGGCCACCCAACCAAACACACCCTATATGTGGACACCCCTCTCCAGAAAGGAACAACTGTGTGCCCCAGCTGGTAATTGCACTGATTACTGCACTTAGACTGGCAACCAGTATTTGGCACCCAATATTAAGCAGTCCTGACCTGAATAATGGCCACTGCCCATTGGTAATGGCTATGCGTCTCATTGAAAACAGCTACATTTTCCGTTCTTTCTAGGCGTGATTGGTACGCTGCTTCTACTCGTGCATGGCCCATCGCATGCAGGAATGAAGTGATTGGTAGGCTGCTTTGCTGCTCGGGCCAGGCCAGCCGCATGCACGAGGTGACGCCGAGCCAGGTTCGCTGGAAACGCGGTTGAGTTCCGTTCCTGCCGGGCCTGGCTGGCTTGGTGCAGCGTGAGCAAGCAGGTTGAGCCGAGTGAGAGAGCAGGCGTGCAGGTACACTGTCCAACCAATCACCATCCTTCCCTGTCCTGGCTGGATGTAGATGGAAGCCAATCACCGCCCGCATGCATGCGTTGGGCCTGGCCAAGCGGGGCTTGGCTCTCTCGTGTGAACCAGTTTCAGCAGAGAAACGAACCAATCACGCGATGTCTGATACTGTGCTTACGCACTCCCAAGTTTTTTTTACCCTTACTATGTGGTGGCCTCTTATTCACACAACTATTCTGCCAACTACATGTACGGGGCAATGTCTGTTCATCGAGATATGCTTATAATTTTCTGTAGGGTGTCATAGAGAGCTGTTTTTTCAATGAAAGGGTGCTCTGAGAGGTAGGTATAACTACCTCCAGTCATAAATGCAGGACACTTTGACCAAATTCAGCTTTAAAATTCTGACCACCAGTGGTTTCAAAATATTTAGTTTGTGAACATAAAATTCATGTATAGATTTGTCTTGTAACATACTTTCATAATCTCATATTTATTGGATTTTACAACAATATTCTAGTAGAAAAAATAGTGGTCAAGGTTGTACCTTGAAAACCATAAAAAGTCATCAGTGACTATTATTAGAGTAATCTCCTAGTCTATAGCATAATCACATAAAACGGGTGCGCGGGGTCGTTTTCGACCCCGCCGTGTAAAAACCTCTCATGAGTAGCCTAACCCCGTTCCTTGACCCCGTCGACCCGGGAACTTTGTGACTGTGGTCTAGAGTTTCTCCTGTTTTTCTCTCTTGTATTCTATATATAGTGCCCATTGGGCCTCAATACAACCATACAACTCAGTCCCTAATATTGTAACATGGTATCACAGGTCTAGGTTTATGATTCAGCTGCAACCCTAGTTCACCAATGCATTGGTCGCCCCAATCCCCTAGTATAAACAAATTTTATTAATGCTTAATCTACATGCAGGTGTCAAAATTTCAGAGTATAAAAGCAAATATGGTATGTGGTTCGCATCAAGAGTTGCACCGGTCGTCTTCATTTGAAAGGAATTGGGAAGAAAGCGCGTCAGAAAGTGTTGCAAGCAATGATGTGGTATCATTCATGAATTCTTCTACTATTTCTTCAAAAGTAGATGCTAGCAATTCTGTCTTAGAGAACCCTGTTGTTGGAAGTGAGATGTGGAGAAGTAAAACAAAAGATTCTATGCCTGCCAAGTCTGGCCGTCTGTCTCACGAGGAAAAAAAGCTTGGGAAGTCTATTGATGAAAAGAAGACAAAACCTCGGAAGTCCATGGAATTTCATAACATCAAGATTAGCCAGGTATTATCTTTATTACTGTGTCCAGTGGTCCTATAACAATTCTTTCAGTTTGTCTTAACTGTTGCAGATGTTCTAGGTTGAACTTCTTGTTACATATGAGGGGTCAAGGCTTGCTATTAATGACCTAAGGTTGCTTATGGATACTTTCCACAAGGCAGAATTTACTGGTACATGGAGGCGACTATTCTCTAGAGTCAAAAAACATATCATCTGGGGAGTTTTGAAGTCGGTGACCGGAATGCAGGCAAGTGCTCTGGGTGGGCACAAATTTTGTTATTACAAAATCTTTGCTCACAGTTAGCTGTATCGTATTCTAGATCCACATTATCACCAATTTATATATGTTGAAAGCACTTGTTCTGTACTTCTGTTAGATCTTGGCTTATGTGATTTATTACTTTTGGAGTCTAATACCCTAATCAAGATTGACGGTTCGACAACCTAAGCAGTAATTTCTATGTGGTTTTTCTCTTTCTGCAACTTTACTGGGCCTGCCTCTGAAAAATTATGCTTGCCCCTTAACTGTAAAATGCTGCTTGTGCTAACATCTAAATCGGTGCTGTTTCATGTTATTTTAGTTGATACTCATAGTCTAAAAGAGTTATGGAATCGAATGGCACCTTTTCTGTTTGAAAATCTAGGGAACATAGCTACCGTTTTTGGTTATATTATTCCAATCTGTCTGGTAATTTTGTTCATACCAGCATCCACAGGTTTTAGGGAAAACCCTTGCCCAATAGTTATTTTATTTCTGAAAGGGTAACTAATGGTGCCAATTTTGAGCAGGGGAAGAAGTTTAGCAACCATAGGGAAACACTTGAGGGTTCTATTCCTGAAAATGATCTTAACTTGAGTGACAGTGATGTTGGTCGTCATGGAAGACATGATCAATTAACGGCTTCATGGTTGAAGAGGCCTGGCGAAGGTGCAGGTGATGGATTTGTCACATCAATTAGGGGGCTTTTCAATACACAACGCCGTAAAGCAAAGGCCTTTGTGATTCGGACAATGCGTGGTGAAGGGCATAATAATGATGAATATCAGGACGAATGGAGCGAGAGTGATGGTGAATATCCTTTTGCGAGGCAACTTACAATTACAAAGGCCAAGAAGCTCATACGAAGGAAATTCCGTCCAAGGGGGCAAAAGAACTCAGGTATAATTCCTTCCATGTTGATACTTTGTATCACTTCTCTAGCACGATTGCAAATTCTACTCTATAGGACTGGCCATTTTTTCCCTTGTCTTCTTAGGTCTGTCGTTGCAAGATTCACTCCCATCTAGCCCGCGGGAAACAACGCCGTATCAAAGTGATTCCTCCAGGTCATCTTACGAGGACTTCCATGAGCAGTAAAACAACCTGGTGATGCTGTTTTCAGCTTCTACATCTGGTGGACAAGATGCTGGCATTTTTGACAATTGGATCATTGTCCAGTGATGTAGCCCTTCAAAATGTGAAGCTACTTTGTCACAGTCGGCGATCGCATGGCATTGTATCAGTCAGCCCCTTGTGTATATAGTAGGGTGTAGTGGAGTTTGTATTGCAGGTGTACCATCAAAATATCCGAATGTATCATGTATAGTAGTTAGGCATTAATCCGTAATTATGCCCTTGTAAGTTAATAAGAGGCCAGCTCGTGCTCCTAGAAAACAAAAAATCCGTGATCTATGGCACGGGGCATTCCCATTTCCTTGTACTTCAGGACTCCCTTGTTGAAGAATTTGTAAAAACTATGGCAGAAACAATAGGGAAAGGAGCAATTGACTTAGGTGTCTAGGTAGAATCATTGCAGCATTTTGGAGAGGTTATTTGCTATTGTGATTCTTTTGCCTGACTAGTTGGAAGTCAGAAATGCATTGCACCACGTCAAAAAGAAATGCTACTTCACAGATTGGTGAGCTATGAAATGTTATCTGCTCACGATACAGGTAAAAATTACGTGTCGAGGGAGTCAATATTCATGTATGTTGCTCACCTACGGATTTGTAGTTTGTAGTGTAGATATAGCTGAGGTTTATCAAAGCACCAGGATATAATAACTACAGAACTATGCAATACTCATACAGCAGATATTACACGATTGAACAGCCACTCCCTCTACTCAAACTGCGCCGTCAAGTAGCTCCGCGTCGCGGAGTCCACGCGAGCTCTGCTCCGAGACGTCTAGCAAGATTGTGAGAAGCGCTACCAAGCGTTTTAGACTGAGGTACAACTAGAGCTAGAACTGGTGGATCTGGGGCAGACTACCAAGCATATATGACCCTCGTTTCAACTAGAAGGATTCAGAAATCTTGCAAGTCAAAAGTGACCTGCATTGCATTTCATATTTGTTCAGTAAATTGACAAGATACAAACATTATTCTATATACCATCGACGGTGTAAGGATCAACAAGTACAGGACCTGACGCTGATGCACATTCATTTACAAACCACAAGAGCATGTTAATTTCTGGTCAAATGGGTCGTTTGAAATAAGCCTAAATCATCCCCCATGTAGTCTGGCAACTAAACGCGGACAGGGCAACAACAATCGGAACACCCATCACACACCATGGAACCACCACCTGGTCTCCTTCGGTGACCTCCCAAACACCCATCACACAGTGTCGTCATGGAACCACCACCTGGTCTCCTTCGGTGACCTCCCATTGCGACAGTTCCTGACATAGCGATCATTATCGGCTGGGCGTTGCTGCAATCAGTACATGTATTGCAATCAGAAAGCAAGATCACCGATTCAACAAGGATATGTAGAGAAAATATGTAACCTTTGCTGGTGAGCTGGACAGCATAGATAATATGCTGATACAGATAGAACTGACAGTCATCGCTGGGGACCATGAGTCATACAATATATCTGTAGGTAAGTGAAGGAATCAATAGTTACTAGAATGGCTCTTTCATGGCAAAAAAATTGAATAGAGATGTCAGCTATCAGGGATTATTAGTCTTACATCCAAAAACAAAAGCACAGTAAATGTTACAAGTTCCATCTTCTACAGTACCCAGGATAAAAAAAAGAATTCTAGCACAGAAGACATTTTTCAATTGTGCCATGCTAGCTAATTCAAATAATTTAAGCTAGAAAAGGTAGATCACATTGGTAATTCAAGTTCATGAGGTAAAAGTAATTAAAGACTGAAAAAAGAGGCACAAACACATGAAATGGATGCAGGTGTATACAAAATATATACTTGCTCTAGAAAAATAACCTCAAGAGGCCAGTGATATATACCAATGGTCATGGAATCATGATTAATACTCATATTTCTAGAAATTTCGTGGCATAGCCAATGGACCAAGCTGGAAAACAAGACAACAGTGTAACAAAAACTCTCTATAAGAGGTGCAGCGTTCCAACAAGCTTATGCTGTTCATGATGTAAAGCCCAGATAGTATATTATTGGACCTTAATAGAATCGTTTTGTACTTGAAAGTTCTAATCGAGATTTCTAGAAGTGTTACTTGCATGGAAACCTCCACTGATGTTGAAATATATTGTCTTGACTAAGCATCATTTAGTACACCATTATTATTGTCAATCAAGATTGGATTACACGTGACAGCTTACATAGAAGAAAACAATGGACATGAATTGCAAAGATAACCTATAACTCTAGCTTAGTCACATTCCTAATCTTAACTAACAGGTCAGATATAACTCCACAGATGAAGGGCCATTCGAAACTAGGTAAAACAGTAACATCACAAAATGGTCCAGGTGGTTAGCAAGGGGGAAAAATCAATGGGTGCAGCATAATGCATACCAATCACTGGTCCTGATCAAGGCACCATGCCAAGTGCAATGTACTTTAGCATGCCGCATATGTCATATGTGAGAATACTGTCAAGGTGTTCCACTAACATCATGAAACAGCCAGCCTACGAAAAGAGAGGCCATTTAGTCGAAAGGACGGACTCATAATTTCCCCTAAGTGCGCCGAATTTTTTTACAAAATGGTAGATATGAAAGGGCTGGTTTTAACGTCAGTCGTGACCAAGTTCGCTAGAGATCAGAGAAACATCAATGATGACCACACCATGGAACGAAACTGCATCCTAGTGCTGGTGAACTTAAAATACAAGAGTTGTTCAAAAAAAATGTCAACAGGGAATAGAAATTAACGATCATACCTAAACAGATGTGTCCATTGCTGTAAATGTGTGGATGCATCGGTGCTGGATGCAGAAATATAACCTGAAACAAAGGAAAACAATATTAAAAAAGGCACTAAAACCCAATGCACATGTAATAATCAATCGGGACTGAAGATATTGACCTGAGGTGCCTCCATGGGATAATGCTCGGGGAAATCCACCTGCAGCTTGTAGGTCTCGCCGGTGTAGAGCGTGCCTGGTGCCCCGGCTACATCGATGACCCACCTTTTTTGTTGTTTCATCCACCATTATTTTTCCATTCATTAAGTTTTTCTTTCGCCCAGGATCACAAAAACACTAGAAAAATTCTACTGCAAACCCCTTGGAGAAGAAGACGAGGGAAATAGTAAAGAAACCAACATCTACACGCCCAAAAGGTCAAAACGCACGCAACACGTCGTGTCTCAGGTCAATCAGGACGCGGAACGTGCTCCGCAGTTTCGGCAGGACTAACCTAGACTCGCGAAGAAGAAAACAGTAGCCAAGCACCGAGCCACGGAGAAAGGGAATCTAAGAGACCCCGCACCGCAGGGATTGCTGGTGACTGGTGAGAAGGGGGATAGGAAGGGCGGCGATGGAGGGGGCACCTCTGGAGGTTGTCGGTGACCCTGTGCTTGAAGCCGGCGGGCGGGTTGACCTGCCACTCCGCGAGCTCCTTCTGCAGGCGGCTGCACGCGATCTTGCTCAGGGCCTGCACGCGCGCACCCACACAAAGGGGGGAACACAGGAAGATCAGTCAAATCGAGCGGCGACCTTGCACGCGGCTGGATCGGATGTGGGAGATCGGGAGAGGGTCTAGGGTTCGTTACCTTGCGGGACGGGGACGAGGAGGAGGAGGACGGGCTGGCCATGCCGCGCCGGGGTTGCTGCGGAGGCGGAAGAGGGGGAGAGGAGAGGAAAGGTATCTGTGCCCCGTGCGCGCGTGTGCGGGCGGCGCGGCAGAGGGCAGGGGCAGCGGCCGCTGTGTTGTATTGGTTGGTGGTGGGGCGGCAGCGCCAAGGGAAATGGGAGAAAACAAGACTTGCCGGCCTTTTGCAGTTGGAAAAAATCTATTTTACCTCTATCCTGTTTTCCTCCCTGGGATAAACCACCTCTCTCAATTTTTAAAACCATTCATTTTACCTCCATGACCCGGATATAGGTGGTTTTCAAAAACAGTTTTTTTTTTTCTTTTTTATTTATTTTGGCTGAATTTAAAAAGAAACATAGTAAATCATAGAAAAAACATAAAATAGAAAATCCAATTTTGTTGAACTCCACATGAGCAGATATATACAGTGAATATATAATATTATATGCTTCAGTACAAAGTTTTTATTGTACCTTTAGATCTATGCTTTTATGTAATTAATTCAAAGCTACGGTTTCTATAGTCCAATTGTAGCAAAATTTTTATGGTGGGCTAATTTATATATGATTGAACTGTAGTAAAAATTTCATGCTCATTGGATCATATATAACAGAGTTATAGATTTATTTAGTTCTATGCTATTTAAATAGTTTTAAAATAGTTAAAAGTGTGTAAAAATAGAAATGAGTATGAAATTTTTAATACAGTTAAATCATAAAATAATTAGACCACCATAAAAATTTCACCACAATTGGACAATAGAAACTACAACTATGAATTAATTAAAAAAGTATAGATTTAAAGCTACAACAAAAACTTTATAATAAAGCTACTCACGTGGAGTCCAAAAAAATGGATTATATATTTTATGATTTTTTGTGATTTATTATGATTTTTTAAATATTCAGCCAAAATAAATAAAAAAGAAAAAGACAACCGTTTTTGAAAACCACCTATAACCGGGTCAGGGAGGTAAAATGAACAGTTTTAAAAGTTGAGGAGGTGGTTTACCCAGGGCCTGTTTGGTTTGCAAAATTTTTAGCGAAATGCTACTGTAGCATTTTCGTTGTTATTTGACAATTAGTGTCCAATCATAGTCTAATTAGGCTTAAAAGATTCGTCTCGTGGATTTCGTCTAAACTGTGTAATTAATTTTATTTTTTATTTATATTTAATGTTTCATGCATGCTTCCAAAGATTCGATGTGACGGAGAATCTTGAAAATTTTTGCAAAATGAAGTGGAACTAAACTGGCCCCCAGTTTTCGAGTTCATGAAGGAAAACTAAACTTCGGTGATAGTTTAGGGAGGTAAAATGGACTTTTTCCTTTGCATTTTCTGGGCCCAGTCGGTTTGGACTCCAAGCTATGAAGTCTACTCCCTCTGTGTCGCTATAGTATTTATAAGGGTCAAAACTTTCTTAAACTTAACTACTCCCTCAATCCCAAAATAAATGCACATCTAACTTCTTGAGAAGTCAAGTTTTTTAAAATTCGACTAGATTTATACAAAAATATACTAATATTTATCATGTATAATAAGTATCATTAGATTAAGCATGGTGTATACTTTCATAATAAACTTACTTAGAAATACAGATGTTTACTATTTTCTATATTCTTTGTCAAACTTACCAAAGTTTGACACCTCAAGAAACAAGATATGTATTTATTTTTGGGACGGAGGGAGTAGATTTATAGAATATATTAGTAACATTTATAACTTCTCAATGATCTATCTAGTAATACTATCTTTTTTTGGAATCATCTAGTAATACTAATTATATACCATAAATATTAATATTTTTTATATATTTAATCAAAGTTTAATATATTTGACTTCTCAAGTGATAAGAACGACAGTTACAAAAGAATGGAGAGAGTTTGGCTTTACTCCCGAGTCCTAAGATCCATAGACAACAAAGATATAAATTCAGTTATACCTATGATGGAAATTAAGAGGGTAAATTGCGTTCTGCCGCACTCGTGCCAATTTGTACATTAATCCGCTCAAGTTCATATTTATGTATATTATGTCCATTTTTTATAATTTTGTTTTAGAAATGTGCTCTTTTCGATTGTTTGTCTTTCTTTATTTTAGCGGGATGGTCTGTATGTGGTATTCTGTTTTGGGAGTTCAATAATATAGCTTAGCGCACCACACCATTTGGTGGGATATCCCATTTTTCTACTATTGTCATCTCTATGCATCTAATACAATTAGAATAGCTTATGTTTTGGTCGTGTTTCTGTATAAGGTTGGTTGTGTCAGCATATAAAGTCACATTTTTTGAATTCTATGTATCAGTGTTCAGTGTTCTTGTTTTTCCTTCTTGGATCATAATCATATTTATCGATATGTTTCTGTTTGAATTGGATCGATTTTTGATGTCCTTTAAATCTCATATTTGTTACTCGCAAAAGAAAAATAAATCCCATGTTTGTTCTAATTAGCAACCTTTTTTAATTGATTTTCATTTTTGTAATAAAATGTAAAAGTAAAAAACATGAGAGAGATTTATTCTAGCCGATCCTATTCATTATCCCTAGTCATAAGTCATGTATCATAAAATGCTAAGATTGAAACATTCTACTAGCAGGGTTTGGCATAGCTCTGGCTTTGGTTCTAGCAGGTAGTAAGCTTCTGTAGAGGAGGCCGAGGCACCATATCAAATACTAAGAGGAGTTGTTTTTAGAATAATAGAGAATGTGAAGCCGTTTTTAAGTGAGGAGCCAGCCATAAAAGTGGCTCCTCCTTATGTGCTGTGACTTTTTCGAGGAAATATTCGAGGAGGAACTGTACAAAACGAGCCTTGAAAGTCTAACTTTTAACTGATGAGGCTAAGATCCACCCTAGAGGCACCACTCGACCATGATCCGAGTGAGAGTTTAGAAAGGACTCTTTGTGCTGCCAAGACAACTACTAGTCAGGGTATTAGGGTCAAAGATGACGTCGCAAAATGACAATTTTAGAGTTAAAGGTTACAGAGTTCTCACAGTGCACAAGAAGCTTCACAACGAAGGGACATGCCTATGCCTATGTGCATTACTCTTTTTTTTATATGTTGATCGGCTATATGTCTACACAACAAGTAAACGAGAAGCGTCTATACTCCAAAGCTTTAGATAGAGGACTGTTTTCTAACACAAGAAAATTATTTTTGCTGCTGCTGTAAGCCTAGAGTACATTACATCTCATATCTACATAGATCATTTCTGAAACAAATTTTGAATTATAGAATTGCAATTTATTTTAGAACAGAACAGTAATTGATAAGCTAACGGCACAACCACTTGATGCCTTATTTGGATGCGTATGTATTTATCTCAATCCATATGTGTAAGTTTTATTTCATTTCACTTTAATACATGTGAATTAAAGTGAAATTAAACTAATTTTTATTCCATTTCACTTCAACACACGTGGATTAAACTCGCATCCATCACCGTGTTCGCTTGGGGCTGGCTGGCTGGCCAGCCCCCTCACATAGACACTGTTTTAACGAACCAGCCAGCAGTACTTCTCTCTCACATAAACGAACGCAAAACCAGCTAACCGAATATGCTGCATGTAAGGGGCTAATGGTTGTAACGGCAGTCGCATGGAAGGAGGGGGGACGGGGGGAACTGTAGTCGCAAAGTTTTCTAGTGACGGCCGGAGAATTTCATTAGCACAAAATCGGTGGCCCAGAGAGAATTAGCTAAAAATGATTCACCGCCAGATATCGTCGATGCCTCCTTCGTCGCTCCCATGGATTTCTCGTAGGCTCTCCCATCCGCTCGGCTCGCTTCCTCCCCACTCTCTCTGATCCCGTCGCACTCCCCTCCTCGCCGCCGCCCCTCTACTCGTCCGATTACCGTTTCCGCGCTCCCTTTTCCCTTTTCGGTCGGCAACAATCATCGTCGGCAGCAATCATCGTCGGCAAGCAAATCCTCGATTTCCGCCCCCCACTCTCAGCTAGCGCCCCTAAAAGAGGAGCGAAGCGATGTCTATGCCGGAGGCGGGGCAGGCCGCGGAGAGGGATGAGCAGCAGCAGGCCCAGGTGATCAAGGCACTGATGCAGGGCATCTGCGCCGTGCGGTACCGCAAGGCCGATAACACGCCCTGCCCCATCAAGCAGGTCTGGACGACGGCGCTATCTTTCGCTCTTTTCGCTCTTTCTCTCTCGATCTACTCTTCTGTTTCGGACGGATGGTCATGGTCATGACGCGGGAGATTGTCTCGAGGACATTGATCGCCTTTTGTTTGTGGTTAAGTTTGAGGATAATAGTGCACCATTGATCTCAGATTTGGTTCAGTGTTGGTTTCGCGAATAGAAAACGTCGAGCTAATTAGTTGGGAAAGTGTTTTTCTTCGATAAGAAGAGCTCCCCAATTCAATTGATTCATACTAATTTGTTCTCCGAAGGAGAGGAATTTTCTTTTCTATCATAGTTTACTGTTGTTTCAAAATTGTTGCATGTGTCTAATTGACACCTTTTGGCTTTCGGTACCTTGTAGGGTCTCTACTTGGGATCTGTTGGAGCAGCATTCAACAAGGAGGCTCTCAAGAGCCTGAACATCACCCATATCTTGATCGTCGCAAGGTCACTGGACCCAGTATTTCCAGCTGAATTCAATTACAAGAAGATCGAGGGTAACTTTTCCTCAGCTTTCTTTCTTTTTCCTCCCTAATTCTTCACTATTTTTTTTTATCTGCAGAAAGGTGTTGTGAGTTCGCTGTACATATAACTTCCATATTTTATTCTTGTGCTTGGAGCATTTGAAACTTGATTCCGCCATTTATAATAAAATCTGCAAAACTGCGCATTTATTTTCTTATTTGTCAAAATCCAGATTCATCATGCCCACAGAAATTGACAGGGTCTGCATATCAAGGACTCATTGGTGTCGGGCCCTGCCACACTGAGGAAAGAACTTTCCATGTGCACTGCACAAAATATTTGCAAACTACAAAGGAAACAGCTCATTTAAGCTTACTTTTTGCACAAGATCTGATCAAAACCAGATGTGCCATCTTCACTCTTCAATAACCACCACAGTGGCCAATTGGGCCCCATTTTCTCTGGCTGTTTGATCAAATCTTCCGTAGCATGTGTTCTGTGGATTTAAAACTCACTCAGATTTTTCTTTAGTTTGGTCAACAAATGTGTAGAGTGAGTTTACTAAATGCTCCAGTTCAGAGGAGCACCAAAACCAAGTGCCCGTGTTGTGTTAATCAGCGTTCTGGTGTGAATCCTTTGAGTTTGTGGTGTGCTCGCTGGCATACAGGAGTGAAGTATCTCCGGCGATTCCCTCACAATGGTCTGTCAGGCTCATATGGAATGGCTGCATTGCTTTGCTACTGATATGCAGGCAGCAGGTCCGCCCTGCTTGTTTTGTCAAATATTACAGAATTATGTTCCTGATCAAATTGTTTTAAATGAGTATTTATACAAAATTTAAAAAATGAAATGTGTTGTATTATGATAGTTTTACAATAATTGTGTAGTGTTTGACAGTTTTGTCAGTCATTGATTTGCCTGATACCTTAATTTACCTCATTGTTTTCATATACAAGCTTCCATGCACCACTAAGCCATGCATTTTGTTTAATGAATGCAGTACTTGACAGCCCAGACACTGATCTGTTAAAGCATTCTGATGAATGCTTTAGTTTCATAGATGAAGCTATAAGCTCTGGAGGCAATGTTTTAGTCCATTGCTTTGCCGGGCGGTCAAGGAGGTAATCTTTCTCTCCTTTTAACTAGTGAAATGTTAACTTATATTAGCACCAACCTGTCATAATTTGGTATGAAGTGCTCTTATGTTCAATTCAGTGAACAAGACAAGCATGTGGCAAAAGGGAAATAGCTAATCTGTTTCAGTTTCATACAACACCTGCAGTTTTTGTTATCTTGATCATGGTTTGTCTCCAGTACATCATGTTCCATATCTTAAACATTAGATTAGAATTAACAATGGTGCCTACTGCTGGGTAGCTCTGCAAAAAAGGTCGACGGCACTTATGAAATCAAAATATTCCCGTGTCCAGCATGGTTAATTAGGTCATAACTATCAAAAGAGTTAACATCATATAAGTGATATATGTGGATCATTAATGCGGTATGCCACTACGTTCAAATTTCGTGCAACCCAAGTGGCTGATTGGCTAAGCTTCTCAGTCTGATTATTGAGGTTGGTTGTTTTGAGACCAAGTTAAAAGCATTCACAGCAAACCAATAGCAGCCAATCTAAAGGTTTTAATATGAATTTTTAATATGTTTGATATCTTCAACGCATCCAATATGCTTGGAATGAAAGACCTATGTGGTACCCTAGAATGATGTTTACACTTAAAAATATTTTATGTTAGATGAAATAACATGTTCCTTATCTTAAGTCAATTTAGTAAGAACTCATTTATTGGATAAACGATGAATTAATATGTCCCTTAACCTAATGTCGTTTCATGTAGACTGTCTTAATTCATACTGTCGTTTCATGTAAACTGTCTTAATTCATAAAAGTCATATTGCATAGCATTACCTTTTTTTTTTGTTTCCCGCTAAGTTATCTTTGTCAAAATGTTCAGTGTGACAATCGTTGTTGCATATCTCATGAAGAAGTATCAAATGAGCCTCGAAAGTGCCTTGTCGCTAGTTAGAAGTAAACGACCTCAAGTGGCTCCTAATGAGGGGTTTATTTCCCAGCTGGAGAACTTTCAGAAATCCTTGCAAGGTAAAACACAAATAGTTGTCTTTGTCGTCTATGTTAAAATGGTTTCGGAGCAAGGCGACGTGTATCTTGCTTAATGAACTTTTTTCTTTCTTTCCTTCTTTTTGTTGTTGATTACCTTTAATAGTTCTATATAATTACTTGCAACACATTTGGTACTTGGTTGTCATTATCCACCAGTTTTTTGCTGGAAACTGTAACCTGCATTTCCAACTTGACTACACTAGGGACTGCAACCTAAACATTTGTCTACTAGCCTGTTATGAAAGAATCCCTGGAATGATGAAAATTTTGTGAGAATACACTTGAGATTTGAACCACATCACAACTATTGAGTCGAGGCGTTTTATCTAGTTGAACAGCTATATGAGAGGTTCTGAAGATGCATAGTAGATGCCCACATATAATTTGATACCAGTGCTATCGTGCACCTATCATTCTGTTAAGTTTGATCTGTATGCAGATTATTTCTTCTCTTTATTTTGTGTCGGGTTTCTGTTTCATTGTTATTTTGCATTTCTCTGTGGATTGGCTAAACGACATTAGCTGTCAACTATTACAAAAACCTAGTGGTGCAAATACTTTTTTCAGCATTAGTTTATTTCTCTCCAAGTTGCATAGAAAATATTGGACTAGTAAATAAAACAACTGACTTTTTAAATGAACAGAAAATAAGGATGCACATAGAGACTGTTGTAAAACTTCTGTTGGTGTTTCATAACACGTGCATGGCTAACTTATAGTTTATCAGAAATCCAGCCTCATTAGTTGACATAATCTCACCTGTGGAACTTATGTTTCTGTGCAGTGGAGCAGGAACGGAGAATGCAATCTGTGCAGAACTAATTATATTATAATAGGTGTAGAGGCCTTATGTTGTGAATGCATATGCGATGTCAAGTGCGTCCTGACTGCGCATTATTTCATCTGGATAACAAGCAAGGCCTTGGCAAACTGCTGGTGGTGGGACTCCACTGCTTTATGTTGTAAACAGCAAGTGACGTTGTTCATCCATTGGGATGCAGTTTATATGTTCAAGATTCTTCACTGTAATTTCTCTTCTAATGGATCAAAGAGGGGTAGAACTGCAATTAGCACTTCATGAACTACAACATCAAGACACTCAAAGAAAAGCCTGCTCATGCCACCAAGCTAAACAGCCACTGGGATGATGGTGCTTGATCCGGTGACTCATAGATTTGTGCTATGTAATCATGCTTGATTTTCCATGCCACTTGTTTTGTAAACCCGGGTTCCAAATATTGTGAAACATCCTACAATCTCAAAGTTTTCTTTTTTTACAATGATGTCACCTATCATAATCATAAACACATGCGTGCCACGTATGCATGTCCATTAGTAGATACATAAGATGCACATATATGACCCAAGGAACATGCACGTGTATGGCTAGGATTAATTCTAAAGTGTATACTGTTGAATTGTTTGTATTGTCATCTCCATGCTATCTTATCTTATTATTAATGTTTGGAACACCTAATATAGTCTCTATGTTACTTTTCATGAGACGTGCTAGAAAAGAAAAGATAAACCCTAAAAACTCACAAACAGAAAGCATGTCACCAATTTAACGGACCTAATGATCATTGTCACTAATAGCCATTGCAAACAATTTATCCACTTCTATCATTATGAAAGTCTTATGATAAAATACCAAGGAATGTTATGTGGTGGCCTTTGGACAAACATAAAGTCCCAACGAAATACGTCGGGCTCATTAAGGATATGTACAACAATGTTGTGACTAGTGTTCGAACAAGTGATAGAGACACGGATGACTTTTCGATTAGGATAGGATTACATCAAAGGTTAGCTTTGAGCCCTTATATGTTTGCCTTAATGATGGAAGAGGTCACAAGGGACATATAAGGGGACATCCCTTGGTGTATACTTTTCGCGGACGATGTAGTGCTAGTTGATGAAAACCGGACAGGAGTGAATCAGAAACTGGAGTTATGGCGGGAGACTTTGGAGTTCAAAGGTTTTAGACTCAGTAGAACTAAAACTGAGTATATGAGATGTGACTTTGGCACTACTACTCGGGAGGAGGAAGATATTAGTTTGGAATGTTAAGTAGTGCCTAGGAAGGATACCTTTCGATATTTAGGATAAATGCTACAGAGAGACAGGGATATTGATGAAGATGTTAGCCATAGAATCAAAGCAGGGTGGATGAAGTGGCACCAAGCATCTAGTGTCCTATGTGGTAAAAGGGTACCACAGAAGCTAAAAGGCAAGTTTTATAAGACGACGATTAGACCTGCTATGTTGTATTGTGCAGAATGTTGGCCTACGAAAAGACGACATGTTCAACAGATAAGTGTCGCGGAAATACATATGTTGCGTTGGATTTGCGGTCATACAAGAAGGGATCGAGTTCGGAACGATGATATACGTGATAGATTAGGGGTAGCACCAATTGAAGAAAAGCTTGTCCAACACCGGTTGAGATGGTTTGGACATGTCCAACGGAGACCTCTAGAGGCACCGGTGCGTAGTGAAATCCTAAGCCAAGATAGTAACGTGAAGAGAGGCAGAGGAAGACCGAAGTTGACTTAGATAGAGGCAATAAAATGAGACTTAAAAGGATGGAATATACCCAAAGACTTAGCGGAGTGCTTGGAAAACAGCTATTCACGTGCCTGAACCTTGATTGCTTCTGCTGGGTTTCAACTCTAGCCTACCCTAACTTATTTGGGACTTCAAGGTTTTATTGTTGTTGTTGTAGTAGTATACACATTGAAAGGATCAATATGTCTCCTATCTTTAAAAGGCCTTGCATTCTTGCTGCCTTTTCTGACCATGTCTAGTTAGCTGGGTGCAGATGATTTTTCATTGCAAACTAAATATTAGCTTATATAAGAAATTGTTGAGACAGTTTGTTACCTTGATTATCAGATCTGTCACGGAAACTGATAAAAGTCTTGCCATGCTTGATGTGAGCAGCCATTTCCCTTTTCCTGTAGAACGAGGCCTTGCTGACTTTCGTATCTTTTTATTTTGAGAAGATGATCTAGTCACAATTTCGAGATCATTTATAAGCAATTGCAACTTTGGGTCCCTGGAGATAACACCGAAACTTAGTTTGACTAGAGACTTGCGGAAACTTAGTTTTATTTCACCAATCGAAACAGATTCGACTGAACCCTGAGAAGTTGGATAATGTGAGCAGATGGATTAGTAAGAAAGGAATAGAATTGAAGGAGAAATATAACTACATACATAATTATTCAACATAACACGGATAATGTGAGTCTTAAGAATATCAATATTTCATAACAGAAAGAAATATTATGGTCAGATTCTCCTTATCTACTCTGAAAGCAGAAAAATGAGAAACATGGAAAACAACACCTCCATTATAAAACAATAAGTACTTCAACAAAGAAAATATATATAGCTGCAAGATAATGTACTAAATGTCAAGGTAATATTAAGATGCTTCCCAATCATATCAAGAAGTGCAAGCCATCTTTTTTTGGCTCTACATAGCAGTATTAGTTGCTTGACAACTGTAAGATGCAAAAGGCACCAAACCAAAATGTTACTAAAATAAATTGAAAAAAACAAGCATGGACAATCATTAACTTCTTATAGCTCTAGGACCTCGCGGCATGAGATGAAAGACAAACCTTACAAAACTTTATTGTTACATCCCTCAAGCAGTTGAAACCAGCAACTCGAAATCCAACAGAAGCTGAGAATACACGGCTCAAGAACCAAGCTAACAATCTTGAAGCAAATCTGCAAAGAATGAACCACATATCAATGCAGCATAGTTGTACCTTTGAATGATTACTTCCTGCAGAGGTTAATACTAATGTGCTAGATTGAAATATAGAAGGATTAAAATGAGCTCCCCTTAATGATTGAGTAATGACCAATCAAATGTTCTTTCCCTCACAAAGTGGCAGAAATATAAAAGTCCGACCAAGTAACCAACATAAATAATTCATTCACTACACAAAAAAAGGTTTACCCACAACGTGGCATCAGAATAGCATGAAATTGACAGCTTGCTGAATCTTGGACATAACAATAACATGCAACGTATAAGAAGAGAAACTAAGGTATGTCAATCTCTACGTGGAAACAACGATTTTAACAAAGTGGCCATGAATCCATGCTCAAATATAACATAACATGATCCAGTTCTGCACCAAAGAGCAAGAATATGGAGGGCAGAACACATCAGAACAAATTGCTACTATCGTGGTTAAAATTAATTAAGCTGGTCTAAAAGAACTTTGAAATTGAGCGGCTCAAAATAGAACAGTCTACAACTCCTCACTAGAATGACTATCTAATAAGTATGACGGAAACAACTCTTGTGTCATCTCGGTTACAACCAAAGCTAACTTTCACTATACCATTCAACCCACCACGATTGCAAGCTCCAAAATATACAGAGTGAATCCAAGGTCTTCATTTCACAATGCATCCTCCAAAGCAACCAGTCAAATGAACATCGCACGGGCCACCAGCCCGCCGCAATGCTTAAGCTTGCCATTAAAAAGCTCAGTTATCATATCATGAGCATTTACGCATCTAACTTGAATCGCATTTTTATCACAGAAACATTTAATGCTCCAGACCGGATGTGCCTGCTCAATCTCAAAAGACACAGCGGAGAGCCATGTTCGTTTGGCTTATAAGTCATACTTTTTCAGCTAATAAATAGTATTTTTCTCTCACAACAAATCAGTCAACAGTAGTTTCAGTCATGACTTATCAGCCAAGCGAACAGGGCATCAATGCATAGCGGGCACCACAGGAATGCCATGTTTGCACAGCTGGGCTGGCGCTGCCACTCTGGCGTCCCTGGTTGCCCCAGTGTTTTCTTATCGTGCCAGTGCATGTCTTCTTATCGTGCCAGATGCACTGGTTCGATAAAAGGCTAGATCTGCAAATACCTTTTAAACTAGGTTAATATTATAATAATATTGATTGAAAAGGGTTGAAGAAATTATCTGGTCGGCCAGGTACACGCATGTACATGATGCAAGTGGCGGCTGGTGAGCGGTGACACCATGCTTATCTTCAAGACTAGGTTTGT